TATTTCCTTCTCCCGAGCCAATGTTTTATCATGTGCTGAAACTGGACCGAGCACAAATTTAGACCCATCGTCCAGTATGGTAGCCATTTTTGTATTATACTCCATTCGCGTTAAGATAACTGTTGCCCGACCTTTGTCTGGCCGAGTGATGATGATATCATTGTTCTTTTTCAGCTCTGAACGAGGTTTCATGTGTTCGCGGGATAGTGAAAATGTTCTCTGTTCAGCGGGTTTGTCAGCGTGTTCCTCGGCTGTAGCACGCAATGCGGCCGTACACACCATTTTCTTTGATTCCGATACCGGTGCAAAACCACTCAATTTCCGACAGAATAATTCAAAATCACATAGTACCCGCTCTCTCATGTTTGATGTTGGTGGTATGCCGAAATCTACGCCTCTAGATAGTAGCTCCTTTTGAACAGTTGTAAGTGGAATGTTCGCCATGTTAATTATTGTGCTGGTATCAATTGTGATGGAGCCAAAGCGCTCCTTCCGAAGCCACTTGATGTTCTGATCGTATTTGGTGACTAATCGAGTATGTAGCCTATCATCATTCTCCGAGATAAGCATGGAAAAACGAAGAAAGTCATGTTGTGACAGGAAGTCCCGCGCCTGGCGGTAGAGGTGTTTAAACGCAGTTCGTGTTTTGTCAATTGTATCCATGGATCTCGCAATGTCATCCTTGATGAAAGTCCTTTCAATTGAAAGCACTCACCAGTTTTTGTTCACACGCACTCACAGCTGCCACATTCATCTACTGCTACCATTCTCAGATACACTGCAAAGGTTCACACTACACGCGTTATGCATAACCGCTAGCTGTGCTGCATTCTCACGCTTCTTTTTATATTACTCTAGCTATATAACTGGTTGTTTTAGTGATTCTTACTATGTGACGATGTTCCACTGATGATGGTCACACGAAAACGTTCTGGAATTGTTTCATTTTAATTGTTTATACATGGTTATGAGTGCACAATTGATATTTTTCATTGCTATTAAACAATGGATCACTCGAAATATTTCGCTACTCCGAGTTTCATGCACCGTGTGCAATCATCAGGCAAACAATATTCAATGCAGACTGGTCAAAGCATAATGGGAATTTAAGGTGGATGCAGGCGGAAACAAGTGTAAGGCTTAGCGGGCCCCTGATACGTAATCAATGGGCTAACTTGCCGGCTGAGAAGTGTGTGAAGCTGAGTGCTAGATGACTATAGCATAGTGGGGCAGTGCAATTTGCCAAGGCGCTAGCTGTTGGATGCCTGTACTACAGCAGAGCCAATTTGCAGTGGGGGGGGGGGGGGGGTGCTAGCTGATCCCCCCCCCCCACTACAAATACACTCAGACATGAGCCCAACCCCCCCCCCCCCCCCCCCCTGCTCCCAATACACTCAGACATGAGCCCACCCCCCCCCCTCCAAACCCCACACATACACTCCGACATGAGTCCACCGCCCCCCTCCCCCCTCCCAAACCACACTCAGCCATGAGCCCAACCCCCCCCCCCCCCCCGACTCCCAAACCGCACACATACACTCAGACATGAGCCTACCCCCCCCCCCCAATCGCAAACATACCTGCCCTCATACAAACATGAATCCACACACAAGCAAGTAGAAAATGCTGGAAGAAACACACATCCACAAACACATACAACACAGAGTGTGGTTGCTAGCAGAAAAACGCACGCACACCCAGACTTAAACACAGAGTGTGCTTGCATGCACAAACACGCACACACAAACACACACACACCGAGACATAAACACAGAGTGCGGTTGCTTGCGCAAACACAAACATAAACACACACACACACACATACACACACGTTGAACCTTGAACGCCCATTGCCGTAAGCAAATAAAAGGGGATGGCTTCCTCTCATTGAGGCTCTAAACCCGAAATCTGCAGTATGGCGCAGGGCGTTTGAGGTCACCAAGACGACAGAACACTCTGTCACAGCGGTAGTTGGTGCACGGGATGTCTGGGGTTTCCTTCTTCCCCCTTTGTCGACCATACTGAAACCAGGTGGATCTCTCCTGCGCTGTGTCATACCAGTCCACCTCAGACATACCGATGACAGTGAAGTCCGAGGCCACAAAATCCCTCCAGGGCTTCTTGGGACCATGTTGTTGCGGGCGTTTGCAGGGCAGTTCAACGAACAGCCGCATGATCTGATTGGGCAGCCTGGTCTCCTTCATCTGTGCAACATGACCAAGCCACTGCAGGCGGTGCTTCCTGATCACATCGGCCATGTCGACGTCCACCCCTGACAGCTCACTTAGCAAGGCCGACGACAATCTCTCCTCCCATTGCTCATGACCAGAGATACCGAGAATTGCGCGAATACACTGTTGGCGAAAGGTTCGGAGTCGGCGAATACGATTCACCTTTATGGGCCATGTCTCCGCACCATAGAGAAGAGCAGAAATGACAAAAGCATGATACACCAGCAGCTTGGTGTGGACCAAGACATGTACGCACTGAAATATTGGAG